TATATATATATATATATATATATATATATATATATATAAGTACAATTAATATCTCATTAATTGATAATTATTATTCCATCTTTGGCACATCAAACATTTTAGCAGTTACTTTTTCGACATACAAACTTTCTGGACGTGTTTTATTGTTTATTTCAGTGGTTGGTTCACTGAAATCTAAGCTCAGAGGTCTTTGAACGGCGCCATTTTTCGTTTCATTACCTCCGATGATATATTCATTTGTCTTTATTTCATTGAGACCAGTTATTGAAAAGTTTGTTTCCAATAAACGTTTTCCAGATACACCCGTAAATCCCGGTGGAAGGACCGGCGGTAGAACCGGTGGAAGACGTTTTAATGCTTGATTTCTTACCGGAACAGGTTTGACGAGTACTTGAGCTTCTGTTTCCGGACTTGTTGAACTTTTGTCAACTTCATCTTCCTCTTCTTCGTCGTCTTCTTCTTCTTCTTGCTCGCGTTCTTCAAGCTCCGGCTCTTCAGTTAAGTCCTCCATTGACTGAGAATAACAAATAAAAGAAAGTTATATAAATTGGTTTTAGTTATCATACGAACAATTTTTAATAAAAAAATTTATAATAATAATAATAATGGAAAAAGTTAAAAAACATGCGAAGTCGAAAACTTATTTCTCATGCATTACTTATTTGAAAGCTTTAAGCATGCAAAGCAAATACTAATCTCATCCGAGTTTTTAAAAATATTTTTAAATAAAACAAATAAAAAAAAAATCTTTACAAATGGATTCGGTTTCGCAGGTTTTGGACCGGTGCCTGTATTTACCCCTAGTAATTCTTTCTTCTCTGATTCTTCATCTGTAAAAATAAAGTATTTTTTTATTCGTTCTAATTATTGCAAAATTAATTTAAATTACAAACCTTTTATAAAGACTTTTTTATCATTAGAAACATCATTTTTGGACTCTGAATTAGGTACTGATTTGTACTCTTTAACAGAAATTTTATTATGAGTACCATTGGGTCTTTTTTCATCTTCAGTAATTGTTTTAAATCCGACAGTTTTAACTCCAGATGGACCTACGACAGAATTAGCATAAGTTGGTTGCCATCGTTTAGAACCGCCAGGAGATCCGCTGCCTGAAACAGCAGCTGAAGCACGAGCTCGTCTCCGTTTCCGATCACGTCTTGCACTTCTTATTACTTCGTAAATACATCCAAGTACTGCAAATACAAATACACAAACGAGGACTATAAAAATATAAGTGCCGGCTCCTTGTTCTTCTTTAGTTTCGTCATTGTATATCGATTTGTATGGAACTCTTGCAGGCGGGTCTTCTACCCACGCTCTATCTCGACCCTTTAATGTCAATGAAGTTATAATTAATTTATTACAATCTTGGTATCGAATATTGGATTACAAAATTATTGAATTGTATTTCAAAAATTTTTATTTAAATACTTACGACACTGTCATTTCTTGGAGGTTCAAGACCTCGCGGTTGAGCATGAAAAACAGCGCATTGAGCACTTCTGACACCCGCCGGAATAGACGCTCTCACTGTTTCACTGCCTTTTTTAGTAAATAACATATATTCTTCTAATGGTTTCATCATCGCTCCTCCGTTAATAGAAACAATGACATCTGTAAAATCATTAAAAATAATTAAGTTTTTTTTTTATTCTAAAATAATTCTAAAATATTCTCAACAGTCGACTTACTACTGAGACACCCTGTGTAACCTTTGTAAGCAGTAAATCGAGGATCAGTGGTATTGAGGCCACCTAATTGAATCTCAGTAGACCCAGGACTCTCATCTTCTTCCTGGTGATTATCATTATCGTCGTCATTGATACTTAAAACGGGAATTGGTAATAATTGTACAGGTTCACGATCAATCTAAAAATAATTGTAGACATTTGATAATTGATTTATACTGATAAATATATCTTTGAATGAAAATTTCAAAAATAATTACCATTAAAGTAGCAGTATTATTATCTCGTACGTAATAAACACTATGCCTTGCGCCATTCAAAAAATTCCTATCATTTAATCGAACTCCGTAAGTTGAACCTTCTCTA